ATTTCCCAAACTAATCTTCCGATTTAAGTGTAATCCCTATCAAAATCCTGGTACTTTTTTTTGCAGATATTGACACACTGATACTAAAATTCATATGGAAATTCAAGGGACCCACAGTTATCAAAATAGTCTTGAAAAGGAAGAACAGAGTTGGAGATCTCACAATTCCTGGTTTCAAAACTTAACCACAAAGCTACAGTTATAAAGATAGTATATTAGTGATGTAATGTTAGACATATGGATTAATGGAATAGAATTGAGAGTCCAGAAATAAGCCCCTTGCATTTAGGTCAATTTATTTATTTATTTATTTATTTTTAAGAGATGGAGTTTCGCTAGATTGCTCAGGCTGGAGTTCAGTGGGGTGTTCATAGGCACAGTCATGGCGCACTATAGCACAGAACACCTGGGCTCAAGAGATCCTCCTGCCTCAGACTCCTGAGTAGCTGGGACTACAAGCATGTGCCATTGCACTTGGCTGGTTAGTTGATTTTTGACAAGAGTTCAAGATACTTCAGTGAGAGATGAATGGTCTTTTCAACAAATGGTACTGGGATAATTGGATATCAACAAACAAGTTGAACCCCTACTATACACCATACACCAATATTATATCAAAATTGAACATAGACCTAAAGGTAAAAGGTAAAACTAGAAAACTCTTAGAATAAATCATAGCCATAAATCTTCATGACCTTGGATTAGACAATGGTTTAGTAGATATGACCCCAAAATTAGAAGCAACCAAAGAGAAGGTGGAGAAATAGTACTTCATCAAAATTAAAAACTTTTGTGTTTTAATGGAGACTATCAAGAAAATGGGCAACCCATGGAATGAGACAGAAAGTTTGCAAATTATATGGGTTAATAACGGACTTCTATGTAGAATATGTAAAGAACTCTTAAAATTCAATAGTTAAAACCTAATAGAAAAATGGGCAAAGGATTTGAATAGACAGTTTTCCAAAGAAAATACGCTATAGAGATGGTTAATAATGCCATTGTATTATTTGGCTAGGGTTGCCATAATAAAATACCACAGACTAGGTTGCTTAAACAATAGAAATTTATTTTCTCAGCTTGGGTGACATAACAAAACTCCGTCTTTACAAAAAATACATAAAAAGAAAAAATTAGCCAGCTGTGATGGCATGTGCTTGTAATCCCAGCTACTCAGGAGGATGAGGTGGGCAAATTGCTTGAGCCCAGGGAGGTCAAGGCTGGAGTTTGCCATGATCGCGCCACTGCAGTCCGCCATGGGTGACAGAGTGAGACCCTGTCTCAAAAAAGAAAAAAAAGTATTTTCTCACACTTTTGGATGCTAGAAGTTCAAGATCAAGGTGCCAACTGTGTTGGTTTCTGTTGAGGCCTTTCTTCCTGGTCTATAGATGGCCACCTTCTCTCCTCATTATGGCCTTTCTTCTGTGTGCACTTGGAGAGGGAAATCTTTGATGTCTCTTCCTCTTATAAGCGTACCAGCCCTCTTGTATTTGAGACCCACCTATGATACCCAATTTAATCTTAATTACTTCTGTGAAGGTCTTATCTGTAAATACAGTTACATTGGGGGTTAGGGATTCAGCATATGAATTCTAAGGGGACGTGGTTCTGTTCACAACATTCATGAAAAGATGCTTGATGTTACTATTAGGGAACTACAAAGCAAAACCACAATGGCATACCACTTCACACACTAAGATGGCTTGAATAAAAAAAAAAACAACTTTTGTTGAGGATGTAAAGCAATTAGACCCATCATGTATTGCTGGTAACACTGTAAAACAATTGGGTTGCTTTAAAAAACAGTTTGGTAGTTTCTCAAAATGTTAAACGTAGAGTTACCATAGACCCAGCAGTTCCGCTCTTAGGTGTGTACCCAAAAGAATTTAATAATGTATGTCCATACAAAAAACTGTATATGAATATTGTGGAAGCATTATTCTTAAGCTCCAGGAAGTAGAAACAACCCAAATGCCTATCAACTGGTAAATATGATATATTCATACATACCACAAAGGAATCAAGTACTGACACATACTGCAACATAGATGAATCTTGAATTATGCTAAGTGAAAGAAGCCAGTCACAAAAGATCACGTTGTGTGATTTTATTTATATAAAATATCCAGGATAAGCAAATCCATAGAAACAAGAAAGTATATGACTGGTTATTTAGGGCCTGGGGAAAGGGGTGAATATGGAGTAACTGCTAATAGTTATGGGGTATCTTTATGACATAATAAAAATGAAATTAGATAGTGGTTATGGTTGTACGACTCCATGAATATACTAAAAACCACTGAATTATGTACTTTAAGTGGGTAAATTTTATGGTGTGTGAAATACATCTTAATAAAGCTGTCATTAATAAAAGAAGTAAAAAAAAGGTACAATTATTGCCTATCAGTCAATAAATAAAAAGGAAAAAAATCTTAAGGATATGACTTAAGTTCTGATTAGCATGTACTAACACGTTTTGTGTTAAATATTCTCTTTGGGAATGTTAGGTTAGCATTAATTAGGAGGAGTATTTGCAGAATTCTTTCTTGTTCGAAATTTTTCTTGGGCAGTAGAGTGCTAACAGTAATATGATACTGAGTTCTAGAAGATCTTTTTGTTCTTTTTCCAACAGAACTTACTAAGTACTTATTCTGTATTAGGCCCTGTGATTAGTACTAGGATCACAAAGATGAGACATCGTCTCCTGCTTTGAAGGGGTTTCCTTTTTAGCTTGGATAGATAGAATGGGAAATAACTGTGATAACGTGTTAAAAATAATATGATTGGTAAGTATTCAGAATTTTTTGAGAGTGCAAGAGAAGAGTGGTCATTACTGGGCAAATTAGAGAAAACTGCAGAGGGATAATTAACACTTGGAGTAAACCTAAAAGATAGACTGGGTTTCACTGGGAAAAGCACTCAGCAGAGGGAGCGCTTGTGTGATGGCTGCTCTGTTTGGGCAGGATAGTAAGTCTAGTAAATTTTGGGTAATTGAGAATGAGATAAAAGGCACTGTTGTTGATATGGCTAAGAGAAAACTTCGTGTATATGATTTTTATTTTTAACTGGTCAGAGACACTTTTTTCTCTTTGTGATTGCTGTGGAAAGAACAGTTTACTTGGCCGGGTGCCGTGGCTCACGCCTGTAATCCCAGCACTTTGGGAGACCGAGGCGGGTGGATCACCCGAGGTCAGGAGTTCAAGAACAGGCTGACCAACATAGCAAAACCCTGCCTCTACTAAAAATACAAAAATTAGCTGGGTGTTGTGGTGCGTGCCTGTAATCCCAGCTACTCGGGAGACTGAGGCAGGAGAATTGCTTGAACCTGGGTAACAGAGTGAGACTCTGTATCAAAAAAAGAAAAAATAAAGCAAACAAAGAACAGTTTACTTGTGTGGTTACAGAAAGTTAGTAAGCAGATTTTTATATGGTGTGACCACTCAGTCTTTTATATGCTGATAACCATTTGGACTAAGAAGAGGATATAATATGCCAATATTGTAGAAACTTATTTGACAAGGGAACCTTTACTCTTGGAATTCAGTGTGGAATTAGGGGAGGTGTTCTGTTATCAATTGTGGCATATCTATTTGATGGAATATTAAGTAGTCATTAAAATGATTATTTTGAAGATGATAGCAGCATGGAAAATGCCTGTATAAAGACATCAGCATCCAAATTAGTTTGATACAATGATTACAATTCTGGCAAATATCCATGCATGGCAAATTAAAACTAGATACTATTTTTATCCTTTAAGTTGGTAGTGGTGTGGGGAAATGATACACTCTTTGTAGAGCAGTTTGGTTCTACTGGAATTGGAAAGAAATGTATACTTTGATCAGACAGTTCTTTTAAGAATCTCTACTGAAATACTGACCTCATGTGCACAAAGATGTATACACAGAGATGGTCTTTACATCACTGTATATATGGGTGACAGTTTGGAAGCACTTTAAACGATAGTCAATAGGACAATAGTTAAGTACATTAGTATGTATTCAAGTGATGGAATACTCTGTAGCAGTTAAATTGAATTAAGGTCTATTCAATTTAGGTCTGTATTCTTAGACCTATTTAAGATAGGTCTGTATCTGTGACACTAAAAAAATAAACCTTCCCAGATGTATTCTCTGAAAAAAAGTCACAAAATATATGTGTGTATGTGTCTCTATGTCTATGTATACATATGTATGTATATAATATTCCCATTTATGGGAAAACAACTATGTTATGAATGTCATTCAGCATATTGATAGAATGTCTATAAGGACACAGAGTAGAATATTAATAGTGGTTTCTAGTGGGATGGGAATGGTGATCCAGGGTGTTTCTGTGAAATGAAACTTTTACTTTACATGTTTCTGAAATTTTGAATTTTTAACAGTAATTATGTATTACTTTTATAACAGTTTTAAAAAACATGCAGGGGAGAATAGACAAAAGTATACCAAAATATTTACACTTGTATTAAGGTGGTAAGATTATGGATGACTCTTTTCCCAAATTTGTATATTAAAATTATGAAAAGGAGGTGCTGGGGCGGTGGTTCATGCCCGTAATCCCAGCACTTTGGGAGGCTGAGGCAGACAGATCACTTGAGCTCAGGAGTTCAAGACCAGGTGGGCTAACATGGTGAAATCCAGTCTCTACCAAAAATAAAAAACTTAGCTGGGGATGGTGGCACGCGCCTGTAATCCCAGCTACTTGGGAGGCTGAGGCAGGAGAATAACTTGAACCTGGGAGGCGGAGGTTGCAATGAGCTGAGATCATGCCCCTGCACTCCAGCCTGGGTGACAGAGCAAGACTCTGTCTCAAAAAACAAAACAGAACAAAACAAATATATATGTATATGTATATATATAAAAATAAAGGAAACACAAGTCGTTCAGGATATAATTGCAAAGGATTGTCTTACTCTTTTGACCTTCAGTGTTTACGAATTTTGTATTAAAATTAAGCAAACCTATCCATTTTGAGGTTTAGCTTCGCTCTTGTAGGTGGACCTTCAATCCTGCTGTTCTCACTAAAGCGAACATTGTCCGAAGTGGAGAAGCTGCTCAAGGTGCAGAAGGAGGCACTTCGCAGTTTCAAGTGGGTGATCTTGTACAAGTTTGTTACGACCTGGAACGAATTAAACTTCTACAAAGAGGACATGGAGAATGGGCTGAAGCGATGCTTCCGGTAAGTATGTATAGAATAATTCTGGGCTGGAAATTACAGTATGCTTATGTCGTTTTTAAAAGTAAATTAATGTAGAAATTAAATTGGCATAAAACTTCCTAGAGTTGTATTCTCCATGTACACCTAGACATACTCATGCTTTTAGTTTTCTAATTTATCCCAGTTAAATTAGCCTGGGAAGGTCCAGAAAAGGTTACAGTTAATATTTAATATTTTTTGATAGAGTAGTTATTGGAGAATGTTATGTGGTGCAAGTCAGCAGTGGTTTTCCTGATACTTAACCCCAGAATGATACAGGTCTGTGCCCATCTGGTCTCTAGCAGTGCTGGACCAGTGCAGCTTTCCTGATTTGGGAGCCTGCGTCTAAAACTTGAGCATGAAAGAGCAGCTCAAAATGTGTGTGCTTTCATAGAGTGAATTTGTTTCCAAAGAGCTACAGTTTAATTTTTTATTTAGTCATTTTTTCATCAAATGTTCAGCAGCAAGAAACAAATTGGCTTGTTCTGCCCTCTCTTCAACCATCCTTCCCTTTCCCTGTCTGTATCCCTTGCTTCTGTCCTTCTGTTCCCACCTTTGGTATTACTGTGTCACCCTGCCATCCCTTATGCTGCCTTGTTCTGTTTCCCTTCCTCCTCCACCTTGCTGTGTCTTCCTCTATAGTTCTCCACCTTGCCTACTGCCATCTCCTGTCTCATTCAGCCTCTCAGCTCCTGTCCTGTCTGTCCCTCCATTCCAGTCCCATTCAGTGCCTCCATCCTGTCCCATGTACTTCATCTCACATCCCTTTTAGTATCCTGTCACCCCCACTCTACTGTAATTGTTCAGTCTCTTCTCCTGGCCAGCACCTCCTTCTCTTCCTATTCAGCCCCAACTCCTGCCCCATCTCATCCCCTCCCATCCTGCCTAGTCCCTGATCAGTAGTGGGATCATGCCTGTGAATAGCCACTGCACTTTAGCCTGGGCTAATGTGAGACTGACACTTAAAAAAAAATGCAAAAAATAAAAAATGAGCTAAAAGAAATTAAGAAAATGAAAAAAATGTAAGAGAAGGAAATCAGAAATGAGGTGATATAACTTAGGAAATAATTAAAAAGAAGTGAAAAAGTCATAAGTGAAGACTAAGCTGGAAGGAACACAGAGCAGAGCAAATAAATGCAACAGATAATGCCTAAGAGAAATGGAAGGTGAAAAAGCAGGAAAATTTTAAAAATAAAAAAGGCAAAAGGTATTTCAGAGAAAGCAACAAACATGAAATAGCATATATATATACACACATACACACACACACATACACACACACATACACACACATATACAAGGTATCCTTGTAGAAAGGAGAAACAAAACCCAAATAAATGAAACAAATATGAAAATTTGTAATTTTAGAAAAATTTTCTGGAATTAAGAAAACAATTTGAAACTAAACGTTGAAGGGGCACATTGCATACCTGGGAAAACTGACCCAGAACAACAAACGCTGGGCCATATTCTGGTAAAATAACTGAATCTTCAAGAAGAGAGAAAGTATCCAGGAAAAAAGACCAGGCAGGTTATTGGTCCTAAAGGAAAGAAAATTATTTTGCTGTTAAGAAAAAAATCTCGTCTCAGTGTTTTATGCCAGAAAACAGTGAGATAGCATTTAAGATACTCAAGGAAAGAATATAAGCTGAAGATTTTATATGTAACCAAACTGACTTTCAAGTATAACTGTGCTATAAATATGTGAGAATTCTTGTTCCCATGAGTCCTTTCTAAGTAATTTGCTAGAGAATGAGTTTCAGACAACCAAAACAACTGAAGAGACATCAAGTGAAGGACTAGTGATCGTGGAATATGTATTGATTTGTTGAACTAAGATTAAATGAATGTTGTAAAGGAAAGGGTAGAATATATAATGATTATGTGTTCTAACAATGTAAAGTATAGTTGTAAAAAACAGGGTGGAAATTGAGCACATGAAAAATTTAATATGTTTGCCTTTTAGTTGTATTAACTGGGACTAAATATTATTTTAGATCAAAATATTAGAAAAGAGAAAGGGTGGGGTAAGGACACATGAATGACTAATTTCAGTATTGCACATACTAGGGAACCAAGTCGATATATATATGTATTTTATATATATAAAATAACTATTAGGACAATGCAAACTGTATTAAAGCAGACAGTGCAATGATAAACTATGAAGTTAAAAATAAGTGTCACCTATATAAAAAGGGAATAGGATATAAGGGGCAAAGAAGTAAGGGAGACCTCTTTGAATATGTCTTGTTTTATAGATTTGATTTGAAATCACATACATATTTAATACAATTGTAAAACAAAATTAAATTTAAAAAGAAAATTCCTAAAAGTGGAAAATAAAATGAAGCAAATGAAACTAAATGTGTTTCTGTTAGCATAACCATGTAGAGAGAAAATTCCAAGTAATTTTTTAAACACAGTTAATTTTTCTTTATATCTTCATAGGAAGAATAGACCCTAAAGAACTGCATGGAAATGAAATGTTTAACACTTTTCAGAAATCTTATTGCATGTAGTAGCGTTGATATTGTTATTCCGAGATTGTTAGATGTACCAAAAAACAGATGAGTACTTGTGTGATAATTCTGTTACTCCTTTGACTTTGAGGATCAGAATTATCAGAGTTGTGAAAGGAGATGCAGATATAATATAGAGGAGGTAAAGACCCTGTAGTCTTGAATTTGAACGAAAAGAGTGTTTGAATTCATGATTTATGCTTCTTTAAAAACAAAACAAATGTCTTCTTTTGAGAAGTGTATGTTCATATCCTTTGCCCACTTTTTGATGGAGTCGTTTTTTTTTTTCTTGTAAATTTGTTTAAGTTCTTTGTAGATTCTGGATATTAGACCTTTGTCAGATGGGTAGACTGCAAAATTTTTCTCCCAGCCATAAAAAAAAGAATGAGATCATGTCCTTTGCAGGGACATGGAAGAAGCTGGAAGCCATCATCCTTAGCAAAGAAACACAGAACAGAAAACCAAACACCGCATGTTCTCACTCATAAGTGGGAGTTGAACAATGAGAACACATGGGCACAGGGAGGGGAACAACACATACTGCGGCCTGTCAGGGGGTGAGGAGCAAGGGGAGGGAGAGCATTAGGACAAATAACTAATATAATGCAATGCGAGGCCTAGAACCTAGATGATGGGTTGATAGGTGCAGCAACCACCATGGCACATGTATGGCTATGTAACAAACCTGCACATTCTGCACATATATCCCAGAACTTAAAGTAAAATTAAAACAAATAAGAAAAAATGCCCCAAACAAAAACTCCTATTTCCTAGCTGTATTCATGAAAATGCCTCCACAGTGACCATTTTAGTAATAACTAAACTTAGTGCCCAGGTTGTGGTTTGCAAGCAGCCTTTCTCTTAGTAAGGAGCCAAGGATTTTTGGAGAAATGGCTAATTCTAGCTCTTTGACAAGAGGTGAACAAAATGAGCCTCATACCGGATAACAAGGAAGCTGTCACTGGTTTCTTAGGGCCATTAGCAACCAACTTGAAGGGGTTCTTGCTGACTATGTACAGAGAGCCAACGAGTTACTAAACTACACCAATTACTAAAATTCAAATGATAAGAAACTTTGTAAGACAAAGAACTGTTTTTCAACAAATAATTTGCAAAGAAAAAAATGTACGTATGGACTTTATGTGGATCTTGATTTAAACAAACTAAAAAAACTGGTAATTTATGAGGTAATTGGAAGTTTGAACACTGAAATTTTGTGATATGTAACTATTGTAACTTTGAGTTGATAATAAATAGCATTGTAAAATATGTTACTAAAAAAAGAGTTCTTACTGTTTGGAGGTACACACTGAAATAATACTGGAGGGCAGCATGGGTAGGGAATAAAGGAAACAAGATTAGCCATGAGCTGATAATTGTTACAAATGGTTGATGGGTACATGAGGATTCAGTATGCTATTGTCCAGTTTTGTATCTCTTGGAAGTTTTCCATAATAAAAAGTTGAGGAGAAAAAAACGGAAGAATGTAGCCTCATAGAGTTTGAGATGATAATGGAAAATTCCAAGTGAAAATGTCTAATAGGCAGTTAAAAAATTAGAATTACTATGTGTATGTGGGGGTGAGGGGTAATTTTGTGTTTTCAAAAAAAAAAAGGTGATAGTTGTCAAAGTGGGTTGAATTTTCAATGAAGAAGAGTAAAAACCTATGGAATAAAATTTTGGGAAAATGCACAGGTTTAGGAATATGAGGAAGGGAAGGAACTGGCAGAAATCAGATGATTCCAAAAAGGGTTTAAACATAGATGTAAGCTTGAGCCGTTCTTGTCCAAATTAGTTTTTTGTTTTTAGAAATCCGATTTTCTTTTTTAGGTTATATTGGTGATAGATTTTAGACTACTTGAGTTGCAAGTTCTCAAAATGTACCTTATGGGTTTAAAAAGGAAGGATTGAATATCAAAATAGATTTTTATAAACTCATATGAATAGGATAGACTTCATCATGATTTGTCTCATATTCTTGTAGAAGTAGTTTTATTATTATTAAAAGATATTTTTTAACATTTGTACTTATTCAAATAACCCATTTCCGTGTGGTTATCCTTTGAAAGTTTTTTCATTAGTAATAAGTAAAATTATTACTTTAAGCATATAAAAACTAGTGATTGATTTTATGGCATGTACTTTAGACTTGGAAATATGAATCTATTTCTTTTCCCCAAGACCTTAGGTAAAGTTGGCCGAGTACAACAGATTTATTCAGACAGTGATTTAAAGGTGGAAGTTTGTGGAACATCTTGGACATACAATCCAGCAGCAGTTTCCAAGGTGGCATCTGCAGGATCAGCCATTAGCAATGCATCTGGTGGTATGTTTTATATTGTGTTTCTTTAAAAGTAATATGGTTTACATTAAAACCTTTGCTAATTCCCCAGTTCTCATATACGGATAATGTTGTACATGTGCTTAGCTTTGTTCCAGATTACACAGCCTTACTTGAATATTGATCACCTTTAAACTTTCACTAAAAATTATTATTATTTTTTAGTGTGTTGAACAACCTTTATTCTGGCCGAAGTACTCCCTGGAGAAGTTCCATAAAATGTGTGCTTTTTCTTGGATGTATTAGGGGATTTTCCACATCAAATTTGAGATTCCTAAAATTCAAGATTCTACTCTTTAGTCAGAACTTTTGTTTTCTGCCAAAGAACCATCACTTTCTTAGACTGCTTCATTTTTTCTGTATTTCCAACATTATTGCTAGCAGATGGCTTTCTTCTTGTATATTTTTACATATCAGTTATTTTTTCTCTTACCATTTAATGAGTTATTATATATGCTACCATGAGTAGAAAACTATGTTAAAATGTGAACTGCTGGATGCTTGAGTAGATCATTCACATAGTCTTTCTTTCCTGTGCTCCAACTTTGTATACACAGACTCAGTTCATTTTACAACATATTACAAGTTACTGTATGTACATGCTGTCATCCGGAAAAGGAGATAGAACTGTAACTATAAATAGTAAGAAACAAAAGGAAAACATAAAGTAACTTCCAATTTTACTTTTGTTCTGCTTTCTGCTTCCTCTGTCTTTTTGTTTATTCTTTCCTGCTGTCATTTGCTAGTATGCTTAACATTTAAATCCGGTGTTTATTTTTACCTTGAGGTTAAATGACATTATGGTAGGTTGACTACATACAAAGTAGAAGAGTGAAGGACAGTTAATAGCCTAGTCTCAAATTATGTGGACTTGGCCCACTTTGTCATTTGTCCCTTGCCCTATTTTGTGATTTCTCTGCTTCATAATAAGTACCCCAAGAATTCAGGAGTAGAGCTTTGTAGCTTCTGTATTGATTGATACTGTTTAGAAAAAAATACCTTATGAAAGGGTTTAGGTATATTCATCCCTGGTTCATTGTTGTTTTTGTCAAAACCAATCAGTTGGCACTTATTGAAAGTTATTAGCACTTAAATGTCTGGTTTCAACCTAAAGAAAATTGGTTTGTCCCTAAAATATGTCCCCAGATATTGCAGAGATTGTTGCTTTTGCTTTTTTTTTTT